TGCCCAACCTTCCTTCCGAGGAGTGGCTGGTGGGTTAACAAAAGAAAAAAACAACACTCTTTTGGTCCAGCAGGCTCCTTGGGGAATGGAGGCGAATTTCATGCCCCCCCCGCCTGCTCTGTGTTTCCAGGAGCTCAGACACGGGCCCTGGCACGAATTCTGCGTCTGTGTCCTCGTACCTTCCCCCCGACCCCCGTTCTGCTGTGTCTGGTGCTAAATGCCTGCACGTGCACCCTCCCCCAGGGCGTCTGGAAAGCCACCTAGAAAGGTTACGGCTGTAACCCTCGCCCACTGTCCTGCCAGGTAGGAGTCTGGTTGTATGAGGCCTTGAGTTCTGTCTTCAGGGAATAAAGTCAAGGAAACAAGCACCGCACGCTGGCTGGTGTTGGCACTGCCTCCCTTCTGACCCATCTGCGCCGTGACTCAGCTCTGTGGGCAGAAGTTCACGGAGCCAAAGGCGGAGTCGCCGTCCCTCGGCTCTTGCTCAAAATGAAAGGTTCTAACATCCACTGTTTCCGGGAGAGACGAGGACAGCCTGGGCCACAACAACGTCTCAGTGCGGGGCCCGTGAGGTGGCGCCCCTCACCGAGAACCGGGCGTGTCCAGGCGGTGACTCCCGGCTCCCAGCATCCACTGTGCTCCCCTTCACTTCCTGTCCGACCACTCTCCACTCCTCACTGTGCGACGGGAGCACCTGTCCAGGGTCGGCCACACTGAACCGCGAGCCGCCTCTTGCCCCCCCAGGTCAAGGTTCAGGAATGCAGCTGCTTTAGCCCCTCTCTTCCCAGCTGCAGACAAAAAAAGCTGTGAGGACCAATAAGACACCAGCTGCATGTTAGCAGGGTGACTTGTTAAAAGTACCTTTCACGAGTTCACGAGGGAAAAGAATTGTAACCTCCTTTGCCGCAGGCTGGCGAGGCGAGGCTCACAGCGCAGCCCAGTCAACAGGCAAGCCCCCTTCCCGGCACCCGCCCGCCCCGAGGGCAGCCCCCAGGGCCCAGCCACCGAGGCCTCGTGCAACACTGGGCCGGCGCCGTCATCCCCGCTGCGCCCCTGCAGCCCACACTCCTACACGCCTGGCCTGGGCCTG